TCGAACCCGCCACCTTAGGTGTACGTGGCTGGCGCCTTAGCCGGTTGAGCTATAGGCGTCGAGCCTAATTATTTCATTATTATGAAGATTAAATGTGATAATCTATGTTAACAACTATTAAGTAAAATTTATAAAAGGCTATTGGTTTGGACTGACCTCCTGACTAGGCCAAACAGACCAAAACAAAATGGAGTTACAGTACTCATGATGGTCCCACTCAACCAAAGTGAAACTAAGTTGTTTATCTGACTTTCAGAGAAATTGGAAGAGAAAGCTATAATACCTGAATCTCTGAAAAGGCCAGTTTTATCTAACATGATAAAAAGTAAACCAACACTCCCCTAGGCCCTGTGAAGGGAGGTCCAACTTCGCCCTCAGACTTCTCTCAGTCACACCTCTCAACAGATCTGCTAGGGAGCTAATGCCCAAGGAGTTGATCAGGCTCCTTCTTCCACTAAAACTGTAGTGGGACCCCCCAGATGGATCATACCTTGCCTTAGACGTCTCCCTGTGTAGGTACCTGTTCCTGCATGCCAGTTCCTCCCAGTGTTTGATTCCTTGAAGACTCATAGAGGGGGTCCTTTCTCAGCCCAACTAAGGTGTTCACACAGGGAGACCAAACTGCCTCCTTGGCGTGCTCAGTGGTTCACAGTGCCCAGGCCGATCAGGGGCCCCCAGAGGATTGGCGATTAGGAGCAACTACCAGGTGCGTGTTCTCTCTAAGGGTGATCTTGCTTCCCAGTCAGGGAACCAAAAATGTTGCAGGAAGATGAGGCCCAATGGAGAGAAAGAGTACCCAACACCATGTTTATAAGAGGAAGGGTTTTATTCATGGACTGGGAGCTTACATTATAGAAGAATTCCAAATGGCTGTGCACTCCAACTGGCTTGATCTTTCCCTTTTTGTTGACAGTCAAAAAGTTCCACCCCGGATGGCGCCTGTGGCTCAGTGAGTAGGGCGCCAGCCTCATATACTGAGGGTGGTGGGATCAAACTCAGCCCCCACCAAACTGCAACAACAAAAAAATATCTGGGTGTTGTGGCAGGCGCCTGTAGTCCCAGCTGCTCGGGAGGCTGAGGAAGAAGAATCGCCTAAGCCCAGGAGCTGGAGATTGCTGTGAGTTGTGATGCCATAGCACTCTACTGAGGGCAAGAAAGTGAGACTCTGTCTCTAAAAAAAAAAAAAAGTTCCACCCCACAGGTACCCTTCTCGTTGGCCAATTTGGATCAAGTGGGAGATGCTATTCTAGCCCCTACAGAACTACAGGATTTCACAGAACTTGGAAATTTCCAAATTCCAGGAAGTTAAGTTTACAAATTCCCAAGAGCTGAGTCACCATGGAGAAGACCCCGCAGGTGTATCCTTGTGGTTGCCTTGAAAAGACCTATTCTCCTAGACCTCACCCTTCTCAGGTATCCTCTCCCACCTAAATCCCCCCAAAGGCCAGTTTTATCTAACATGATAAAAAGTTGTGTTTAGTGGCCATGTGCAGTGACTCAACTCTGTAATCCTAGCCCTCTGGGAGGCCGAGGCGGATTGCCTGAACTCAGGATTTGGAGACCAGCATGAGCCAGAGTGAGACCTCATCTCTAAAAATAGCCAGGTGTTGTAGCAGGCGCCTGTAGTCCCAGCTACTTGGGAGGCTGAGGCAAGAGAATTGCTTAACCATAAGAGTTTGAAGTTGCTGTGAGCTATGATGCTATGGCACTCTACCAATGGGGACAAAATAAGACTCTGTCTCAATGACTTGTGCCATAGCACAGTGGTTATGGTGCCAGCCACATACACCAGGGCTGGCTAGCCTCAGGTTGCAGTGAGCTATGATGATGCCACTGCACTTAACCGAAGGCAAAAGAGTGAGTCTCTTGTCTTGTACTTGTTTAGATACCAAGAACATCCATGTGGAAAATGAGTTAAAAAAAAAAAAAAAAAAAAGAGTATGGGGCTTGGGGCCTGTAGCTCAGTGGTTAGGGAGCTGGCCACATACACTGGGGCTGGTGGGTTCCAACCCAGCCCAGGCCTGCTAAACAACAATAACAACTATAACAAAAAAGTAGCTGGGCGATGTGGCAGGCTCCTGTAGTTCCAGCTACTTGGGAGGCTGAGGCAAGAGAATTGCTTAAGCCCAAGAGTTTGAGGTTGCTGTGAGCTTTGAGGTCACAGCACTCTACTGAGAGTGGCATAGTGAGACTGTCTCACACAAACAAAACAAAACAAAAAGAAAGAAAAAAGAAAAGACTGTCTCCAAAAAAACAAAAAAAAA